CGGGACCATACAGGAAGACCCTTGGAGAAACTAGCATGGTCAATCATACCTTAGCTACAGAAAAAATTGAGGCTATGTTCGAACGGTTCTACAAGAATGAGTTTGACGATGTGAGCAGTCACGTGCCCATGTCTGTTGAAGGTCGTAAGGCTCCAAGTATTATGTCAGAGTCCATACAGTTAGTTGACGGACATTATCAGATAGCACTTCCATGGCGTTGACAACAAATTTTACCTAGTAATAGAAAACTGGCGATGAGTAGACTCAATTGGTTGAGGAAACGCCTCTGTCAAGACTCAGACCTGCACAAAGAGTATACTAATGTAATGTCTCAGTATATTCAAAAAGGTTTCGCTGAAATGGTCGAAGAGAATCAAGTTAATGGACAGGTTTGATACTTGCCACACCATCCGGTTTCCCATCCGAAGAAGCCCAATAAATTAAGGATTGTGTTTGACTGTGCGGCAGAGTACGCAGGAATATCTTTGAATGAAAATCTGTATTCTGGTTCGGGTCTAGTAAATAATTTGATGGTTGTCTTTATTAGATTTCGGCAGCGACCAATAAGCATCCCTGCAGATATAGAAGCTATGTTTCATCAAGCGATCGTTCCTTCGTATGACAGAAACGCTCTTGGATTTTTATGGTGGGTCGGTGATGACGTGAAGACGGAACCAGCAGTTTACAGAATGAAGGTGCATATTTTCGGAGTAACTTCTTTGCCGAGTTGTGTGACCACTGCCTTTCAAAGGACTGTCACAGACAACGCTGACAAGTTCGGTGAGCGTGTTGTTCAAGTACCTAGAGAACAGTTTTATGTCGACGATTTGCTTACTAGTGTTAATACGTTAGATGGGGGTAAGCTGATTTATACTCAGCTGAAACAGATCCTAAAACTAGGAGGATTTAATCCGACCAGATAGACTAGTAACAAACGAGAATTAATGAAGTTCAACCCAGAAGAAGACCGCGCAGAGAGGAACATCGATATCCTTTTATCTAAAGAGAATAACGAGAGGACGCTAGGTATAGAATGGAAAGTATTAAGTGATAGTATCTGTTTTCGAACTCGTGAATTTAAAACAAGAACAACCAGAAGGACTCTTTTTTCATACGTGGCTTCGATATGCGACCCGGTTGGAATTATAGCACCGATATTGCTGCCTGCTAAATTAATTTTGCAAGACACATGTAGAATGCGATTAGAATGGGATGCCAACCTACCTGAAGGAATAGATAGTGTAAGAATATTAATTATTTGCATAAAATTCGTATTCCACGATGTATAATTCTCATTTCTTGTGAACTGTTGAGCATTCAGCTTCACTGTTTTTCAGACGTTTCAGAATTCGCATACGGTGCTGTAGAATATATCCGTGTAGAAGATGTTTCCCGCCAAGTTCATTGTTCTTCAGTGCTGACAAAATCTACAGTCGCACCATTGAAATCTGTTACTATACCTAGACTAGAGTTATTAGCTGCTGTATTATGTTTCAAGATTGGTAAACATCTGCAACAACAGCTTCGTGTACCGATTTCGTCTACGACTTACTGGACGGATTCACTAATTGTGCTTCATTCGATAAAAAAAACACTACGAAAAGATTTGAAAGATTTGTAATCAGCAGGCTCGCAGTTACCCATGAGTTATCCACACTAGATCAGTGGAGACACGTCACTAGTAGTAAACAGAATCCTGCTGATTACGTCTCACGTGGACTTTCGTTAGATAATGATGTTAAGATTAACGAGTGGCTTTATGGACCGAAATTCCTAAGGGACAGGGAAGAGAATTGGTCTAATATTGGATGAAGATGAAAGTGTTACCAGCAATAATTTGTTAGTGGACAAAACCTGTGGGTCGAATACACTACAGGAAGAGGGTCGACTGCTAGGATGCTAAGAGTTTTCACCTTATATCAGCATTTTATCCGCAATTTGAAAATGTGAAAGAGCAGGAAACTGTCTATCGCCTACAAACTATCGTTAGAGAATATCAGCAAAGACAAGTCGCATATACTTAAGTTAGTGCAGAGCGCTACATTTCCCGACGAGATTGAGGCATTGAGGTCTGCAGAAAGTGATTGCAGAAACATTGCAAATGGCTGTTAAGTTGGAAAGGCTATGGGTTGCTACGTCTTATGTGGTCGTCCCGCAAGGCCACGAAAGGTGGCACTGTCCGCGTGCCAACGATACAGAAATTCAACCCATTTGTGGCAGACGACATCATTCGAGTAGGATGTCTCTTGCAATTATCATACCTACCCTTTGATAGTAAACATCCCATTCTATTACCTAGTAAGCACTTTGTCACCGATATCATAGTGATGCATTGCCATCTTCAGAATGCTCATGAAGGTATTATGCGTGTTCTAAATAGTCTTCATGAAGAAGAATTCTGGATTCTTAAAGGTCATTCTACAGTTAGGAGAGTATTGAGGCAATGTTACTTATGCAAGAGACTTAATACCTCAGCGTGTTCTCAGATAATGGCTCCATTACCAGAGTACCAGTTAAAGGCTCATGTACCGCCGTTCGATTCTGTTGGTGTGGACTATTTTGGACCATTTGTTACGAAGAGAGGAAGAGTTGTTGAAAAACGTTATGGTTGTCTGTTTACGTGCTCATCGATAAGAGCGGTTCATATCGAAATGGCACATACCTTAGACGCCGACTCCTTTCTGTGTGCACTGTCTGGGTTTGCTGCAAGAAGAGGATACCCGGAGAGCATATTTAGTGACAACGGTTCTAACTTCAAGAGGGCTGATGCTGGTTTGAAGCAAATTATTAGAAGTTGGGATAAGACCAAGATAGCCAATAATCTTCTACAAAAAGGATGTGAATGGCATTTCAATCCACCACCTAGAGCCAGTCATCGTGGAGGTGTATGGGAGCGCGTTATTAGATCCGTTAGAAAGATCTTAGGGACGCTACTGTTCCAGAAAGTGCTGACAGACGAAAGACTGGAAACATTCTTGGTGGAGTCTGAAGGAATTTTAAACAGTCGACCGTTGGTAAGGTTGATAGGTGACGGCGATGAATTAAGTGTACTAACTCCGAATAAATTATCGTTACTTCATAAACAATTGACGTTTGAAGGAATAGAAGCTAGTAGAACGTCATTGTATAATAAAAGATGGAAGGAAGCACAACATTTGACTGATTTGTTCTGGCATAGATGGATCGCTACGTGAATATCTTCCGATGCTGCAAACAAGATCTAAATGTTTGGATATAAGGCGCAGCCTACAACCTGGTGATCTCGTCCTAGTTAACAGTACTGACACACCGAGAGGTCTCTGGCCAAAGGCTATAGTTAAGCAGGTGTACTATGACCAAGATGGTCGCGTCAGGACGGTGCGTTTGAAAACTGCACAACTCAAGAAGTCGAACGAGATATAAGAAGCATATGTTTGTTGGAAGAAGCAGATAACTTGAAGGTTCCAGACACGAGAAGTTAACGTGGTGATCGTTCTCGGGGAGTGTTAATCGCGACAGATAAATAGACTACATGATAGACAGTCAATCAATATAATGTGACCTTTTTGTCGCGATTATTGGTTAATTTGATGTAAACTAATACCACATGATGTGACCTTGAGTGTTCTTTGTTTACCGTCACTTTATTTGTGTGTACATGTAATTAATTAACCGTTTCATTTTTGTCCGTTCCCTCAATACTGTTCGAAAGAGATAAAGTTTAAGTGAAGTCACTCTGTTATTGACTATAGTTAAGCCGAGACTCTGTGTTATCAGTACTTATTGGAAGGACTAAATCTGTAGGCAGAATTAATCCTACAAAGTGTCTGTCTGGATTCAACATAGAAGTTGGCACCGAAGTGCAGCAGTTCGAGTTGCCACGTTCCAAATAGCACACAAAGGTAGACAAGAAAATGAGTGAAGAGAATCAATAGAGTTTTGACAAGTATAAGAGTGAAACAGAATGAGTAATAGTAGAAAGGAATATGAAAGATTACCGAGGCTGAATACATCTGCGCCATTGACAACGATTTCGAGCCATGTCACCTATTGTCTCCAGCCATTGATTCTTAGAGTCCCGAGGGCCCCAACCCGGAAGTTTGTATCTCCCTACCTGACTCAGTTTAACTGTCAAGGATTTCATGGATTGATGTCGTGTTTTTGTTTGGCCACCACTTACTCTTTTCCAACCTGCACCTATATCAGCTAGTAATGCCCGTCCGTCGGGGGAGGCGATGGTTAGGCATGCGCAGCACGTGACCTAGCCATCTCAATCTATGTATTTTTATAGCCTCTTCAATTGATTTTCCCTCTTTGCCCAACACTCTACGCCTAACGTCAACATTACTTACCTTATAATGCCACCTAACGTGAGAAAGAGATCGTAGACATCTATGATCAAAAACAGTCAACCTTTTCATGTCTTCAACTCGTATTGGCCATGTTTCAGAGCCATAGAGAAGGACGGAGCGAACTGCTGAGCAGTAAACACGTCCCTTGGTTGATAGCCGGATGTCACGTCTATGAATTGCTGGTATTAATGGTTGGAGGCAATCGGCTACAGGAAGCCCAGTCTGACATAGGTGGCTTCGTGCTATTTGGCACTCACTAGTGAACAAGGCATATGCACAACCTTAAAGGAACTCATGTTCCTCACATTTGAGATTTGAACCTGTCCAGTGCTTCCGTCAGTCACAGACATTAATTACCATTGAGCTATTTGAGTTTGCGACTGATCCTAACAGTCAACTGGTAATGAGATAACACTGTCTACAGTCTATATACTCCACATAATATCAAAGTAACCAGAAGAGTCCCAAGATAACATTCAATAAAACACATGGTTCAATACGTAATTATATGCAAACATAGACATTTCACATACACCATCATCATCAGGAGGAACGTTAACCCCTTTCTACAACTAGGTGAATGCTTCCTCTGGTTTATGGGTTTAAAATTCTCAGAGAATGATTGATTATAAAGCGAATAGTTTTTATCTCTATAAAAGACAAACTTACTTAGCTTGCTTAAGATTCTCCTCAGTGAAATTTGCAGAACGCAGTGCTTCAATGATACGTTTTACTCTGGCCCCGACTGTTTTAGGGCAAGCTCCAGCTACAGCCACTCCAAAAAGACCATGATCACTGTATAATTTATGAAAAGCCACAGCTTCAGTTTCACTGTCACCTTCAGCAACTGTACTAGCCAATAGAGATTTGGAGGCATTCCCACCATGCTCTATTCGATTTGATGAACCATTCAATGCAGAAACAATCAAGTCATATACTGGACAAGATCCTTTAGCAGGCCATGCTAAATACGCGTAAACAGTAGACGCAGCGCTCAAATCTCGACGTATTTCGCCTAAAATCAATACGTAATGCCAAAACACAAGCGGTTATGATGAAGTAAAATACGAGAAAATAATTTTTCTGGAGGACTTTTGAAGAAAAAAGTGCCATGTTGTTTACAGAAATGTATGCTCGTCGGATGGACAGTGCGTCGGTGGTTCAGCGGTAGAACACTAGCCAACCACGTCGCATGTGACCCGAGGTTCGATCCTCGGCCGACGCACTCTTAAAGCCCACTGAGCCGGTAGTAGGGTCGGTAAAGGGGGAAAGTTGGGTGTAAGGCTAGAAACTAACCCACCCTGTAAGAAAATAAAATGGCTGGTGCTGAAACTTCGAAGCTATAGCTTGAAACCCTATGTTCCACTCAAAACGTGAAGGAAAATAATTTTTTTTAAAAAATAGTTGGATAATGACCCTAACGTTTGTTTGCATTCATCAGGAAAAAGGCTGGAACTAATCGATATTACTCAAACAGATTTCACAACTTAGCTATGACAGTGAAAAATATACAATATGGTTCATCAAAAAGCATGAAGTGTTTACTGCACAAGGAGTAGTAATAATATTCAGTATTCTAGACATCAACAGGTCGGTTGGGTTTTCAAACACAATAAAGCTGAATTCCTGAATTATTATTATCATTCAGGTGGACTTCCAGTGGAATCTAGGGGGCTTTAACAGAACATCTCCATTTCACACTGTCCTCTGCAGTCCTTTTTAACTGCCTCTATGATTGCCTAGTTTGCTAGGCGATTTTAAACCCGGAAAAAAGGAAGGTTGGGCATGGGGCTAGGGACCCTACCCCATAAATTCGACCCAATCGCTGCAGAGCGACTTCAAAGCATAGAAAAGAGCATTTTTAAAAATAAACGTATTCTTTGAATGAGTCTGAGACAAAATGACACAGACTAGTGAATGCTTTCCGGAAACCAGCCAACCAACCAACTGATGTGTCTTCTTTCGACCGCAGTGAAAATAAGCATGAGGAGGACATAGAATGTTCACAAGATGTTTAAAGCTGGGAAGGCTGCTCATAGATTGCAAATAAATGACAAGATATGGTACAGAAGTGCTCGAAACTTATAAGGGACAAGTGGAATAGGAGTGAACTCTACAAATTGTTAACAATCTACTTCAGTCAACCAAAACGACAACCACGAATGACTAAATGACTGGTTTCAACGTAGAACACGTAACTTTTCCTAATTTTGGATTTGATCTTCGGAAGGTTAGTGTTTTCAAGTCTTTGAGCATCACAGCTTCTGCAATCAAACCTGATATGGGCAATCCCATAGACCTCGCTTTAATTTATACATATATTTGGCCGCCGAATTGAAAATACGCTGTTAGACATAGGTATGTGCATGTGAATGTTGTGATTGTGGTGATCGTCGTTGCTGAGTAACTGCAACTCCATGATTTCTTTTACTAGTCCATACTGTCCATACTTCGGTTGGACAGAAATCACTCAGCAGTAGAACATGATAAGTTGTGCAAATCTACGATTTAGAAAGAAACAACAGATTGAGCGGAGAAATATGCATTCCTTTTCAATTAGTAGTTCCTCACCATCATCGGCTGGCTCTGCCCTAAAATATGATTTTTTTTTTACATCAATATCGTTTACCAATCAAGTGGTTATTTTAGTTAATCACTTTTAAGTATACCTCTAGGGGGCAGGTGAAATCAAGAAGTTAAAACTCATCAGAACAATTACCTAATAGGGGTGAAAATTAATTACGGAATTCAAGATTAGTTAATTCGTAGGTGTTATTATAATTATTATTGTTCCCTTGGGCTCCTAGTGGAACATAGGGCTTCAACTGCACGTCTTCACTTGCTCCTCTCGTCTGCTATACTTTTCACTTGCATCCATGTTAGTCCATACTGTTTCAACTCTTCTTCACACGATCTCCTCCATGTCACCCCTGCACTGACGTCCCACTCGCCGCTTCCCTTTCGGGTTCCACTCGAGCACGGGCCTGACGCGCGATGTCACCCAGCGGCCTCCTCAGCGAGTGTCCAATCCATCTCCACTTTCTCCTGCATATTTGTTGAGCGATTGGTTCTCGTTTTGTTTGTTCCCATAGTTTCTTGTTGGTGATTCTTTCCGGCCATCTGATCTTCAGTATAGAACGAATACAGTTGTTGATAAAGGTCTGCAACCTGTTGGAAATATTCTTGGTGACCCGCCGCCAAGTTTCTGATCCGTAAAGCAAAATTGACTTCACGTTTGTATTGAAAATCCGAATTTTGTTGTTGATGCTGAGTGACGAAGATTTCCAGATTGGTTTCAGGTTGATGAATGTGTTTCTCGCCTTCCCGATTCTCGATTTGACATCCTCGTCCGTTCCTCCTGTAGTTGAGACAATGCTCCCTAGATAAGTGAAAGAAGTAACCTCTTTCAAATCCCTCCCGTTGATGGTGATTGGCGCTGGATGTTTCTGCTGTTGTTGTCGGTTGGTTATTTTCATAACCTCCGTCTTGTCAATGTTCACCTGGAGTCCTGTCTTCTCTGGCTGCTTCTTCGACCAGTTTGTCGGTTTTCGCTTGTAAGTCTTCGATTTTATGTGACATCAAACACAAATCATCCGCAAAATCCAGGTCTTCTAGATTCTTCACGTCGGTCCAGGATATCCCTGTCTTCTCGTTTCCCACTGTCTGACGCATAATCCAGTCTGTCCACCACAATTAGGAATATCATTGGTGATAATAAGCACCCTTGTCTGACTCCTGTGTTTACTCCAAAAGCCTCACTGAGTTTTCCGTTGTGGATCACTTAACATGTGTCGTTATCGTACAGCTGTTGAATAAGGTTGATGAATATTTAGGGTACGCCGTAGTACTTGAGTAGTTTCCAAATTACTTCGCGGTCAACGCTGTCGAAGGTGTTGGCAACAAGTTATTGCATATTCAAAAAACTTGTAAAATAATGATGACTAAGAAGAATATGATGACTCAATAGAATCGGGTAATAAATAATCGCATAATAAGATAACAAAGTCAAAAGATAGTGCGGAGGGGAAAAGCCGTTTTTAAAAACTTAATACATATTATGTAGTTGGTCATGACAAAGAAAGGGGCTGTACAAATTTCTTTTGAGCTGATCCACAGATTTGGTTTGTTCAGATGATTTCCGATCGTCTCTCTGCTGTATGTAAGAGTTGTACTCCTAAACCATGCGAGAGGTTGGGTGAAAAACGATGAAGGACTTTAAAAGCTTTGTTGGAGTCAACTTGATGTTCAGTGTCGACGAGATGAACTGGTATTGAGCTGTGTATAGCTTTATTTGGAACTTTACCAAACCAAAATGGCAGGTATTCAGAAATTCGACAATGAACTCGCCTGATCGTACGCGCAGTGTAACTAGCTCTACACGAACAGTTGGTCTTCACTTCCTCAACTAAGTATCGGTTGACTAGTGAATACACAGTATAACTTAGCTGCATAGAAAGTCTTCTCGGAGTCCCTTCTCAGACGTTGTGATAAGATTTTACTATTAACATCACCCATGAATTGCAATCTAAGGAAGACTGATTTTTTGGAGAGCAGTCGGTACCTTCGACATTTTTCTTGCTGAGTTCGTATTGTAACGACAGACGACAATAGCCAGGCAACAGATAGTTTATTGAGAAAATCAAGGGATATTTACAGATTTTTATGCACATTATTGTCAGCAGAGAAGCAACGTCTTTTGATTGGTTGTTTTCCTGCTGAAGGTTATTCTGTACTGTAAGTTTCTTAGAAAGTTAAGCCATAATGTCTGCGAATCATATCTCCACACGTTAACTCCGCTGTGATTGGTTGATGAGTTCCTCATGGTTAAGCTTTGTTATTATGCTTTTTTCTCATGACCCTGATTCGGGACGTAACATTGACGTATATTGCTGTCTACAATTTACGCTTGCAGACAGCTCTCACCACAATATGTCTATTCAGACATTATTATTTTTACTATATATTAGTGTTTCCAACAGGTTGCAGACCTTTATCAACAGCTGTCTTCCTTCTATACTCAAGATCAGATGGCCGGAAAGAATCACCAACAAGAAACTATGGGAACAAACAAAACAAGAACCAATCGCTCAACAAATATGCAGGAGAAAGTGGAGATGGATGGATTTGACACTCGCTGAGGAGGCCGTTGGGTGACATCGCGCGTCAGGCCAGTGCTCGAGTGGAACCCGAAAGGGAAGTGGCGAGTGGGAGGTCCAAGGGTGACATGGAGGAGATCGTGTGAAGAGCAGCTGAAACAGTATGGACTATCATGGATGCAAGTGAAAAGTACAGCAGAAGACAGAAGCAAGTGGAGACGTGCAGTTGAAGCCCTATGTTCCACTAGGAACCCAAGGGAACAATAATAATAATATATTAGTGTAGAGCCGATGATGAGAAACTAATTGAAAAGGAATATATTTCTTCGCTCAATTTTTTGTTTTTTTCTAAATGCGTAAATGGGAATTTGGAAATTAGTGAAATCCACGATTATCCCTGATTCATTAAAACACCTAATATATATTATATATTATCGTACAATTAAAACTAACAAAACCAAAGCAAAGAAAAGAAAGAAAAGACGGAATACACATCTTACCTCCAATAAATCCATGACTTTCTGATTTACTTTCTGTTTTTGGAGGATTAAGATAAATAGAATTTTTCACTGTCTTTATTATATCCATACCATCTCGATCAGGGTTTGCGTGTACAATGCCTAGAACACATTTTTCTGCACTAAATCGACTTTTATGATATGCGTCGATTTGATCAAACGAGTGTGATCCAACACGATCAATCGGTGCTATCAATGAATTGCCTAAACCACAGCCTGAATCACTTGTACCAAAAGCTGCTTCGTGTAATAACTCAAAAGCCACTTTGAAATTTTTTTCGAACAAAAAACAAAAGAAAAGAAGAAGCAAGAAATATAGATTTTATTCAATAAACAAAGAAACACGACACAAGCATAATATGGTTGGTGTGATCCAATCTAACTAAATTGAATCAGATCAAATAAAACTGAAATTAGAATTTATTTTTATTTTAAAAATTGGAAAGAGGTGCGTCGGTGGCACAGTTGTAGAATGCTCGCCAGCCATGATGCAGGTGGTCTGGGGTTCGATCCCCGGCCACTGGACGCACTCCTTTACCTCGCTCGCTATGCCAGTAATAGGACTGGTAAAGAGGGAAGGCTAGCAACCCCACCCCGTAAAATAAACACAACTGCCACTGAAACTTCAAGTCTGTAGGCTTGAAGCCGCCCCCTATGTTCCACAGGGAATGGAAATGGAAAAACAAATGCAGAAAGAGACAAACACACAAACACTTACATCCACTTAAATTTCGTCTATTCAAAATATCAACATCTTTACGCATTAAATGATAGACAGTATCTTTCAATTCCCAGCCATAATAACACGGAGATGATGCCATATTGCATAGAAGATGACCAGCTCGGGTAGCAAAGTTAGGCGCAACATCCACTGTATAGATAGTATGCTCACGAGTTGTTTTACATCTGAAAGTAGAAGTAATTATTAGACAGATACAGTGAATAAACACTTCATAAAACTAGTACGTGTGTGTGTGTGTTAAGAAGGCTGAGCATCACAAACACGCACATACATACACAATATCTAAGGCAATCTGCTAATCGTATGAATCTAATTCAGGTAAGCAGCAAAAGTGAGGCTTTATTCAAGCTAATTATTATTATATGAAGGAAAACATAGAACAAAATAGACATCAGAACTTATAAAGAACTGAGGCTTGATTCCTAACCAACTGTAGACTATATTGGTTCACAGCAATGATCCTACACCTAGAGGAATATTATTATCGAGTGAAGTGAAACACTGCTAAGTTGGACAGTTAATGAGTTGATATAAGAGTTGTTGTTGTTGTAACTTGGCTACCCGGCTCAGATTTCGCATGTACCAGGTTATGAGCGGATAGAATGAAAGAGACCATGTGAACCAGGTTCGAAGCCGTGTTAAAACGCATTGAAGTGTTTGAACTGTGCATCAGCAAAACAGCAGTGTTACGCTGTTGGGTAATAAACTAGGCAACGGTGAGATAAAACCATTACCGGAGAGAATTTTGACGATGAAGAATACTATGTCTCCGAATTCTAAGGGGAAGCTAAGACAGTTGCTGGCAACAACAGCGTTTTATAGTCGGTTTGTGAAACTGGTTTCGGCGTAGAACTTTGCACAGCCAGTCAGGTGCAACTTCCCAAATAAGTGAAATGGTTAGCATGCACCGGTCCGAATGGATTGATTGCCGACGAAATATCGGGAGGAAACAGTTGGTTCGTGTAACATTTGCCAACTCACGTCGTCTTTGGATTAGACGTGATAGCCGGCTACTGACCAAAGGATGTGTGTACTGAGCAGCTGTTCGCTATGTCCTCCTATACGACTGTGAGTTATGGCCGTTGAGACAGGGGAAATACGTAAGGGACAGATGTCTTTGACCACAGATGTTTGCGTTCTATCTCCCTTTTTAGGTGGTATAGTATGATGAGTAATACCATAGTTAGGCCTAGAGTGCTAGGTAAGAAGGATAATTTAATCGAAGAAGTTGTGAAGCTACAGCAACTAAGGCGGTTAAGACGCGTGTTGAGCATGCCGCCAGCGTACTCCCTCCTTCGATGACCAACGTCAGTTGATGCGATTGTGAGTGGTCAAACCAAAACCTGGCACCAGTCCACCAGGTCTTTCACAGTTGGTTTCAGCTAGCCATGTAGGGAGGTGCATACTTCCTGGCGGAAGTCCTCGGGATGCTAAGAACCAGTGTCTGGAGGCTATTCGAGATATGGTTCGCTCAAAATCGTTCGCAACGCATTATTCACTTTCTGTCATCTCCCATTGTCAATAAACCCTTACGTTTTTTCAAACGTTATTGTTCTTTCATCCCGCACGTTTCTGCTTATTTATTAGTTCTTTTGATTCTCTTTTTTTCTTTTGTGTGCAATATAGAATGTGGCAACTTCAGCTGATGCATTTCTGTGCAAAGTTCTACGCTGAAACTCAATCAGTCAGTTAGCTGATACACATATGGAAAATTAAAACTTGAGGTAAGTAAACAATCATGAAAAATAATACTATGCTATGACCCGTTGCACAAGGGGTGGCTCTCGTGGCCCAAGTGGTCTAGTGGATAACCCGCTTTGGCGTTTGAAACTATGGGCACTGGGTTCGAGCCCCGGTGGGAACATCATCACCCACTGGGGAATGCAGGTACATCCAGATGACGAGTCCCAAATAGGACGAAGTGCTCTTCATGCTGGATTCCACTGCTAGTCACCATCCACCAATGGAATATATTATTCCCTACATTAAAAGGTCCTGAACGATATAAAAATGCGTAAGCAATTATTTTGTATGAATAATTCTTGTTTAGTGAAGTAAACTGACATATTAACAACATACACTGGTTGATTGGATGGTTAGAGTTAAGTTATGCGATACCTGAGTATGAGCCACATTTATTGTGTAAAGGCTGATGATACTGCCCTATTGCCCAGGTTACAGTAGCAGGAAAAAGGTTCGAACCCGAGACCAATTAGCTGAAATTTGAGTACTCAAACCAATGAGCCATAACAGCAACATAAATTGAGAAAACGTTTTATTAGGATTTTTAAAGTCACTAATGGTATTGGTAGGAAAGTAACTTTACACATTCACACTTCAATTCACTGCTAAGAATGAACAATTTCCATACTTTTTGAAAAATATTCTGTTTTAGAAAATCATTGTAAAACTAATATTAAAACCTTCAAATATTTTTCCTATTTTGTAAAAGAAACTGATATTTCCCATGTCATGAATTTATCATTTCACACTGATAACAAGGTCGTATGCTCAAAGTATAACTTGTCTACAAGAATAATGATGGTATTTCAAAACTCGATAGTTCTCCGTAAATTCCACACCTCACTTATTGAATGGCGCTCATTACACTACAAGCCTTTACGTTGATAAATGAGATTTACTAGAGCTGCAAAAATGCTCAGAAAAAAGCATTGCCCAGGGTCGTTTAATAAAATTATTTTGTTAGCCATTTCGGCAAAAAACGTCAACAACAATACCATTCATCCTAAAGTGGTCACTGATCTGAACATTTAATAGACAATATACTGTCACTTGTGAGAATACTCATGAAAAAAAACTATGAAAATCAACAGGTAGAATTTCAGTACACACTGAAATGTTATGTATTCCACCAGCACATCTAAGTGGAATAAGTACAGAGAACAGTAAGTAACCCAACCCTCCCTTTTACTGGATGTTGCGAGGATCTAACAATCCGAAATCTTTGCATATATCTCAGACAGAAAGATTACCCTACATTAAACTCACATAAATAGCTAAATTAAGTTACACGCCAAATTACGTAGTCACTATGCGAGTGCATGTTGAATTTCTATCTACAAAGCTCAAACCTACGTTTTTGTGCAGTTGATTAGGAGATAAATGAAACCCATACAAATTAAGGCAAGAAGCTTTATATTAAAAGTGACAGTGAGTTCTACCATAGGGTTTGGCATAAAAGTGCCGTTCCTGGTGTTACACTCCATATAGCACATAAAGTAGTAAAAAATTCAAAGGAACTATAATGAACCGAAATGTGCGGCAGACAAATAATTAAGCGTAGAATAATAATAATAATCCAATGTAACTGCGAGATTATAAAGAATGAATACATTCACACCACTGACTATGATTTTGAGCTATGTAACCAGCAGTCTCAAGCCATTGCTTCTCAGCGTCTCGAGGACTCCAGCCAGACACCATACTTCCCCATGTGGCTGACATCGTCTGTCAAAGACTTCATGAACTGATACCAGGTTTTGACATAGCCTCCCCTAACTCTTCTCTGAACTAATCTGGTGTCAGCTTAGTGGTAAAAAGCGCAGTCACTTGAATTCTAGTTACAATTGACCATAGTGGTAATATAGTTAACGTCCTACCCTACATTTCAGAAGTGAATAATTACCTAAAGTGTATAAAATTTTATTAAAATCATCTAAATTTACTGAGAAGACACATTATAGTAAAAATTTCATACTCACTGTACACGGGCACCCATTTGTTGAAAATGTCTTGTTAAATTTACACTAGTATACTCAGAAGTAGATATTCCAAAGGATCGTCGAAGAAGGTGACTTATGCCGCGATTTTCGGAAGACTCATACCTGGGACCAGATTTTATGACAAGAGCCAGTCGCGTAAATCCAAGACCAAGAGATGGTACATTAACAAGCTGTAATAAACGGAAGTATTTATGACTATTTAAAAACAGATAAAACAGAATGCGATTATAGAAAAACACTGAGATAACTTCTTTGGAAAAAAATAAGTAACACATTCAACAACCCTATACAATCTAGTGTACCAGACTGTAGGTTACACTAATGTTTGTTTAATACTAAAACACGAATTCATAAAGGAGTTATGGACATGAAGCAGTAGACCAATGGTAAAGTGTAGACTATCTGAAGTCAAGAGCAATAGTTCTGCATTTCATCAGTATGAAAATTATCATGGGATGTTATTTAGATAAATTTAAGTAACTTACAAGTCGGCTATCGTATTTCATGATGAAGCAACACAAGAAAAATTTAGGGAGTATGTTCTTATCAGAAAACCAGGACTCATTTTGCAAATGGTGTTATTATTCTACCTTTTTCCCTAATTTCTTCGTTCTAATCTATTGTGAAAGTACAAGAAAAACTAACCTAAAGCAAAATTGTCCACTGACGTGGTTTTCTAAATACGACGAAGAGATGTTTAAACTTTTCGCGGAAGGATGAATTTAATAGCCATAATCAGTTTTATTTGACATTCTTTGGTTTTCAATTGGAGATTTTAGTGGCACTGGCTTTGCAGTGAGGAAATCTACATGGTTGTTTTTCGGTCACAAGTTTAAGTGATAGAATTCATTTCAGTTCAGTTGTCTTACTAACCCTTAAGAAATTTTGATGATTTAGTTTTTAACTCTGCGCCTGTTTCACATAGGCGGTGAATCTATGTTAAAGTTTACAACCATTAGACCATAGCAATGAACCATTCCTGTTGTTATACTGAATTGTCTTATTAAACGCCAACCCAAAAGCTATGTTCTTATAGCTATATAGACTGCTGGACAGTTTGTACTAAAATGTGACTTTGCACTGGCTAGAGAAAGACTGATAATCAGCCACTTAATTGCACGACATTAATAGGTACACCGCACGGCATGTAGCGTTTAAGCAGTTACACACACCAGAAATATGTTTTTATTAAGTTTCATGAACACCTTTCGTTAGCTATTACCACTAATATTTGAATGATATGTACTAATGGTCATCGAAGCAATAGTACAATTATTCAACTGCGTTGAATTGAGCGTTAACAAGTACGTGTGGCACTCCACTCACGTTTGATCGAGTCTGGAACTACCATCTACGTTCATAAGTAGTGGGAATACATACAAATATGTTTAGTGAACTGTGTGCAAAATAAAGTCATTTAAAAGGAAGCATATGCATCGGCAGGTTCAGTTCTACTACTGGAAAGTTATACATCGTTGAAGTGAATTTCAGTTCAGATATTCCTGTCATTTTATGCTTTACCTTGAGAGATACGTTTTACTCAGCTGGTACAAACTTCAATCATGGCTAAAGACGGATTTCGAACTTATTCAGTGTTACCAACTTATCCTGATATTTTCACTACCTAGATAAATCTGTATTTGATGAGCGATGTGTATGTGTGCGACAATATATAAAGTTTCCAGTGTTTCCTTCGATAGGTCTATAGCGTGACTACAGACGCGATAGTCCCCAACAATGCATTCGACTTATTCCCAAAACTCGCTATGTTTACATAAAAAATACAGGTTTATGTTGATAACTCACCTGTATGCCATCTATGCTGGGATTAATGACAATATCTTTCTGTTGCACTGCCTTACAGGCGCTTGCGACGTTTAATACACCTCTCTTTAGTGTGTTTAGACTAGAAAACCTGAAAATCTATATAAGGAAACGACAACGTTACTCCACAAAACGGCCCACTGGAGACATTTGACCAAAAACAACAGTACACTTGTAAAGACCGCGCTGTGAGTCTACAGAGATTCAATGCACTATGTTTTCAGATTCAGATTTATTTATTGAAGACAGAAGGCTCAGAGCTTATTTTTATCCTTTTCTAATAAATTTATGTGCTTGTCTAAACCCTTATTGAATGAATCAGTTGAGGTTGGAGACACCACTTCTTCTTGGAGTCGCTTCCAAGAGTTTATGACTCGGTGTGAGAACGGCTGGACTTATCCGGCATGTTGGTTGAAATTTCGCTCGGCAAATTTGTTTTGTCAATAGTTTTTAATAAAATTTTGTTGTATGTTTTCTGGATTGATAGGAATTCTCATTTCCTGGCTAGTTATGTTGGTGTCTGCGTCATTTAATCTGACTGCGACACACTTAGCATATTGGTTGTAATGATTAGTGTTTCATGTTGAATGCGTCAAAACATCTCTGCAATGAAGAAGATGGGGTAGTTGGGGGTAATGTCATCTACACAAATAGTTTATTTCTTGTAGAAGCTGCAGCTTTCGACATAGTGTCATTCAATGAAGACTACGTCAAAATGTGGCTATTTTCGTGTGAACAACAGTACTATTTTACAAAAGAATGCTATCAGTACATGGGAATCACCTATAAATGCCAACAGAACATAAAACCAATGTGTAAACGAACGGCTATGGAACTGCAATCCAACATAACCGACTAACATGGACGAAAATGACCTTTGAGCGTCTCACTCCATCAATGACCTTGAGCATGCGGGATAATTTCAGCCAGAACGGCTGGACTTATCCGGCATGTTGGTTGAAATTTCGCTCGGCAAATTTGTTTTGTCAATAGTTTTTAATAAAATTTTGTTGTATGTTTTCTGGATTGATAGGAATTCTCATTTCCTGGCTAGTTATGTTGGTGTCTGCGTCATTTAATCTGACTGCGACACACTTAGCATATTGGTTGTAATGATTAGTGTTTCATGTTGAATGCGTCAAAACATCTCTGCAATGAAGAAGATGGGGTAGTTGGGGGTAATGTCATCTACACAAATAGTTTATTTCTTGTAGAAGCTGCAGCTTTCGACATAGTGTCATTCAATGAAGACTACGTCAAAATGTGGCTATTTTCGTGTGAACAACAGTACTATTTTACAAAAGAATGCTATCAGTACATGGGAATCACCTATAAATGCCAACAGAACATAAAACCAATGTGTAAACGAACGGCTATGGAACTGCAATCCAACATAACCGACTAACATGGACGAAAATGACCTTTGAGCGTCTCACTCCATCAATGACCTTGAGCATGCGGGATAATTTCAGCCAGAACGGCTGGACTTATCCGGCATGTTGGTTGAAATTTCGCTCGGCAAATTTGTTTTGTCAATAGTTTTTAATAAAATTTTGTTGTATGTTTTCTGGATTGATAGGAATTCTCATTTCCTGGCTAGTTATGTTGGTGTCTGCGTCATTTAATCTGACTGCGACACACTTAGCATATTGGTTGTAATGATTAGTGTTTCATGTTGAATGCGTCAAAACATCTCTGCAATGAAGAAGATGGGGTAGTTGGGGGTAATGTCATCTACACAAATAGTTTATTTCTTGTAGAAGCTGCAGCTTTCGACATAGTGTCATTCAATGAAGACTACGTCAAAATGTGGCTATTTTCGTGTGAACAACAGTACTATTTTACAAAAGAATGCTATCAGTACATGGGAATCACCTATAAATGCCAACAGAACATAAAACCAATGTGTAAACGAACGGCTATGGAACTGCAATCCAACATAACCGACTAACATGGACGAAAATGACCTTTGAGCGTCTCACTCCATCAATGACCTTGAGCATGCGGGATAATTTCAGCCTGTGAGAACTAGTACTCAACAGCAATGATTTCTCCTTGGCTTTTAAATCCTCTTGCTATGTCCTCTAAGGTGTTCCGATCTGAAGGGAAGGAAAAGAGAGAACAGATCAGGTCCGTGGTCATTATTTAAAATTTTAAACATTGTAATTAAATCTCCCCTCTGCCTACGGTATGATAGGGAGAAGAGATTTAAACTGTCTAGTCTTTCTTCGTTTGAGAAACTAGACATATTAGTAATCACACGTGTTGCTTTCCTTTGGACCCTTTCTAGAATATGAGTCCCGTTTAAGACGAGGACTAGTTGCCTAGAAACAGTTTTCCAGTCTTGACCTCACAAGAGATATATAAGGAGGTGAACATATCTCTGGTGGTTCTAGTAAAGGCTCTGCGAATTGCCCATAATGATCTGAAACTACGTGCAGCCACCGCACGACAGTGTGCTGCAGTTTTTAAATCGTGGCTAACTATGACACTGAAATCCAAATGAGTCCGAAATGACAGGAGTTTTATTCCCTCAAGTTCATAAGAGCTGATGCTTACTTGTCCGATGCGCATGGCTGCACATTTCGCTATGTTGATCGGAAGCGTCCATTCTCTGGGCCACTCTGACAATTTGTTGAGATCCTCTTGCAACGTGGACGTATCACTGTCGCCCTTCAGCGCTCTCCAGATTTTTAAGTCATCTGTGTATGGGGCTATAGGGGAATCGGTGAGCAGAGATAACTCACTGATATATAAAATAAATAGGAGAAGTGCGAGTACGGTGTCTTAAGGCACTCCACTACGCACCCTTGTTCAGGAGGAGAGTTTCGAGTTGATCCTAACCTCCTGCCTTCTATCTATGAGGAATTCCCTAATCCACTTTAGTAAGCTGCCTTTGATACCAAGACTTTCCAACTTCAAGATTAGTCGTTTGTGGGGAACTTTATCGGAGGCTTTGCTGAAATCTGTGTAGGTCGACGTCAACGGAATCTATCCCGTGTTCCTCTGATGCAGTCAGAGCTGATCCTAAGGGAAGTGAAGACTGCCGTGTAAAGACTTAGGAGAAGTAGTCTGCCATTGCTTCTACTTTTTCTTGATCTTCTTCGATTGTGTCACTGTCACTGGTTAGGTTTGGGACACCACTGGATGTCTTATTCCTGAAGTTCGTGTACGAGAAAATTTTTTGGGTTGTGCCGTTGCACCAATTCAGACAAGAAAACTAGCACAGTTTAGGTTTCCTTATTTTCATATGGCTATGTTTTCGGCCTTGTCTTTCCTAGTTGTTGGAAATTTATGGGTTTTCAGTCTTAGTCTTAACAGGTATGAAAAGAGATGGTTGGGGTTTACCTATGATTTTTGAGAAAAATCTTGCGTTTTTATTAATTTCCCACGAAAAATCTATTACAATGCATAAGCTGGACTGCCGGATGGACCGCTATAATAGTTCACTGGATAGTGAGTAAATTAGGTTAATCCACATGGCGTTCTCCAAAACAGAATCCGTAGTCAAGAGTGATAGTGACGGAAACTTACACTCGCGTCTCATTTTACGGCTCTATCTGTGTCGTGTACTACTTTAATTTACAAACTATAGAAAAATAAGCATTTCTTCCGTCACACAACACCACTGTCTTTTCTTACTGAATCTTTCTGCATTCCGAATGGGACATAGGGATTCAATCTTTGAGCTTTAGAGTTCCCGTAACTATGGTGTTATTATTTTTATGGAGTGGCATTGCTATCCTTACGCCCAGCCTTCCCTCCTTGGGGAGCTTAATACTGATTATGTGAGGTTTAGGAGTGAGCTCAGGGATCAGACCCAGGATTGCATGCGCACACAGAGCCATATTTGCAGCGAATTCTCGAACAGTGGGTAAGTGACAATCCTCATAGTGGTTTTGCATGTCCAGGCACCTCTCTGACAAAAGTTTAGTAGTGCTTATTTGGATGAAAATTCAGTGCGGGTTCACGTCAACGCGATTTTAAATATCATGACTATCTCCAGGTTGTTATGGCTGGAAAAGGGACAACCACCAATTCAGAAGTCGTTTTAAACTACAGTAAGTGCATGCTTCTACACGTTGTCACTAGGACTTATTGTACGGTTGGCTTCTGAAAAACTACTGTAAAGGTAGTCTGGATTACTGATGGTGTGAAACGAGGTATTCTGGATATTCATTAGTTAGGGAGTCTTGGGTTGTCAAAGTTACTACTAAGTACAGTGTGCAATCAGAACTGGAACTCATGAACATTCGATGGGATAATTTGATATTTTCCGAATGTTCGCAAGCCTATATTAGCTATGATACAGCTTCTTGCTCACCCATGAGGTGAAAGCAGTTAGCTACTCAAAACGTTGTTAATAATAATAATAATTTACTTTATTCCAAAAACAGTACTTATAATACAGAATGGAATTCTCAGCATTTGTCACAATATTGCATCTGATTTACTCAAAATGTATATAAAATTAAAAATTAAAACGAAAATTAATCGGAGGAATTTGTCCACATTTACGACATAATTATTAGATATAATAATAATAAATACTAATAACAGTGAGTTTGTTTCAAACGGTATTGTCGATTCAGTTTGGAAACTTTAGCATGTTATGGATAATTGGGTCTAATGTTCTGTTGATATGGTATAGTGAGGTGAAATACAAAGTTAACAGTCATAATACAGCTTAAAATTATGTCCACACTTATGAAAAATAAAATAAACAAAACGAAAAAATTGAGAGGATTATAAATATAAGAAATACAATAACAATAAAGTATGATGCTTTAAGGTTGAAGGAAATGGTCTATTTAGTGGTGCTAAGAAGGTCATTTAGTTCATTTCTGACACTATTTTCATCACATAAAGTACGTGCTAAATATGGTATAGTGGAATTTTTATACTTAGACGTACGTGCATAAAGTCTTCTGAAAAGACTTCTTGTTTTACCTGAGGAGACACAAGGTTGGAGCTGCTGGTAGAGTGGGTGCTCACAGTCTGACAAAATTCCTCTAGCGAATCTGTTGCATGACATCAAATGCCTATCATTGACAATGACAACGATATGGCCCAATGGGATACCACTCGTCCTACTGACAGTCTTCAGAGTTCTACGAAGTATGACATAGTCTATTTAAGCAATCCAGGAAAGAATAAGGGTGAACAGTAAAGAAGAATAGGTAAAATACACGAGTTGATAAACTGTAAGAGGAGTGGTTGAGT